ACACAGTGTTTAACTACCTGACTCGACCATTACCTCCTTACAGTACACACTATGACGGGTTTAAGTACGATCACTGAGGGTCATTGTTTCTGGGTTTGAATATTTTGGGTGGAACTTTTTTTCCCTTAATAAAAGTAAAGGTGTACTTTCAGCCTGAGTAGTACTGTGTATTTGTGTGTGTGTGTGTGTGTATGTGGCAGGAAGGAATTAGTTGGAGGTGTAGAGTAGTGCCAACACAGCCACACCCACAGTCAGGAGTAGTACAGGGTGTGACTCAGTACACCATGGGGTGGATCTTAAGCCTTAAAACCGTGCAGAAAAATCCCAAAAATCGAGTATTTTTTCACATTAAAAGTAATGAGTGTAATAAGGGGCCGCGCGAGCACTTCTCATTAAATTTTGAATCAAATTAGATGCTTCTATCCCGAGGTACACCTGATTGTTCCCTTCTCTTTAATATATATTTTTTTTTGGTCGCCAGTCTCATGTGTTCTCAGACGAAAAGGAATATTATATAAAGTTAATTTTTGCTCAAGGGACTAATTTCTGTCTAGCTAATTTATTTCAAAACGCGAGCCTGTTAAATACTGTACTGCCTCTACTGTGAATCCTGCGAGGGAAAAAATATGAAGATTTAATATAGTTCTCAAGACATTGTTCGCTAAAAAAAGACGCTACACCTCTGGGACCAACAAAGGTACACAGTTTTCACCAGATCGATGCTTTCTTAACAACACACACACAAAAAAAAATCATTATCTAATCACAGAGAATATAAAATCAACCTCGGTCTTGGTGTCAGAACTAAATCCTGTAACCTGTCGATGATGTAAACCTTGAACACATGAGGCTCTCGGGTAATTTAAATAACACTAGTTGGGATGGGAATTAATCTGGGTTCATGAATAAGTCGTGTCTAGGGTCTTAATAAATGATGAGGCTCAGTCCCTATTCTCGTCCATGTTACACGAGGTGGAGTTATCATCGTACTTGTCTTAATATGATGTTGAACAGGTGGATGACTGTCGCTGTTCTTTATATTGAAGTTATTTTTTTTATTGAAAGAATTATTTTGGATTATTTAGGGCCGTGTATTAGCATTTATTCTGTAGTAGTCGCTGTTTAAAAAAGATAATATTAGTAGTATTTGTAGTAGTAGTAGTAGTAGTAGTAGTAGTAGTAGTAGTAGTAGTAGTAATTTATTCACAGTTGTGTAAAGTATGTTGTCAGAAGCTCTGTCATAATATACAGTTACAAACATTAAGGACAGGTTAATGAAGCTATCCTGTTACCGGCGTGATAGTTTAGTTAGTAGGGATAATCGCCCATTAAGCTTTAAAAAGGAACACGTTTTTTTGCAGTTATAAACTAAAGTAGGTTAGGAACGTTAGGCTAGGTATTGTTTGTGCCGTTAAAACATTGTTCAGTTCTGTATTTTATTACTATGAATGTACACAACACAGGTAACTGAAGAACCTATCCCTTTAAACTCTGCTCTGAGGACGGGATAAGCGATGTTCCGAACCGTAAACTCATTGTATTAACACTAAAGATGTTTGTGATTTTCCCGGTGTTCCTCTTCATGATATATATTATGAACTTGTAATGAATGTCATGCTAAACAGTGATGATATAATGAGATATATTCAACAGTGTCCCTCATGTTATCTGTCCTGTGAAGTTACACAATTTACTGATATATTGTCTTAAGTAATATTTACAATTTATTTGAAAAGACAAATCACACAAGTTACCGAGAATCCTAAATTAATGTTCGTAATTCTTAACAAAAACTTCTTATTTGATGGACTTGGAATTTCAGTCAAACTCAAGGTTCAGAAGTTAGATTACATTAGGTGTCCAGCGTGTCGGACGGCGCCTGTGTTTCCAGGAAGAACACGGCTTCGTCAGCATCGAACATTGGTTCACGGAGGACTAGTGTGGAGAGAGAGAGAGAGAGAGAGAGAGAGAGAGAGAGAGAGAGAGAGAGAGAGAGAGAGAGATGAATACGGCAGTTATAGAAAACACTCGGCAGTACCTTTACAAGTCTTCACATTGTCGTATATCACAAAGACACAAAGGTAAGAAACTCTAGTGTGTTACATATTCAGGCAAAGTAACAAGACGTGAGTGCAAGACAAACACACACACACACACACACACACACACACACACTATACTGTACTGGGGTAGATGTGAAGACCTACTGTACTGTACACACTATGTGGAGAGGAGGGACAGGTGCAGGAAGGAATAATCCTACTGACGGGAAATACGGAGAATAAAACATGAGAGGAGTGGTAGTGCTTCAGGGAGGGAGGGAGGGTGGTGCTTCAGGGAGGGAGGGTGGTGCTTCAGGGAGGGAGGGTGGTGCTTCAGGGAGGGAGGGTGGTGCTTCCTTCAGGGAAGGGAGGCAGGGAGGGGTGCTTCAGGTGGTGAGGGGGGGTGGTGTGTGGGGAGGGAGGAGGAGGTGGTGCTTCAGGGAGGGAAGGGGTGCCAGGAAGGGAAGGTGAGCCAGTGAGGAGGGGTGGAGCTCAGGAGGGAAGGTGGTGCTTCAGGGAGGGAGGGTGGTGCTTCAGGGAGGGAGGGTAGTGTTTCAGGGAGGAAGGGTGGTGCCAGAGGAGGGGGGTTTCAGGGAGGGAGGGTTTCAGGGAGGAGGGGTGGTGCTTCAGGGAGGAGGGTGGTGCTCCAGGGAGGGAGGTGGTGCTCCAGGGAGGGAGGGGTGGTGCTTCAGAGAGGAGGGTGGTGCTTCAGGGAGGGAGGGTGGTGTCGGAGAGAGGAGAAGTGTTATTGCTTCAGTAAGGGAGAGAGGGAGGGAAGTACTGGGCGTATTCATAACGAGAAATGGTCCAACGTGTAGAATGAAAGTGTTCACAGAGGCGAGGGTCCGAATTTCATCAGAGGATCGACCATGGGAGGTAACGGCAGAATGTGGAAGAGAACGAAATTACTGAACGATTGTGGGAGGCTGTGAGTATGAGTTGTTATCATTCACAACACCTATAACTCTACCCCAGGTGTTGTTAAGTGAGAGTTGTTATCATTCACAACACCTATAACTCTACCTCAGGTGTTGTTAAGTGAGAGTTGTTATCATTCACAACACCTATAACTCTACCCCAGGTGTTGTTAGGTGAGAGTTGTTATCATTCACAACACCTATAACTCTACCCCAGGTGTTGTTAAGTGAGAGTTGTTATCATTCACAACACCTATAACTCTACCCCAGGTGTTGTTAAGTGAGAGTTGTTATCATTCACAACACCTATAATTCATCAATATATTCACTCTAATAATAATAATAACTACAGATTATAGTTAAATGATAGATTTCTGAAGTGTAAGGAAAGATTTAAGAGATACAGTACAGTCCATTATCAGATCTACCATTACATACAGTATCTATAAATTCAGAACAGGTGATAAGATACTGTTGATACTGTTAAGAGGGGTAATTGTCCTTTGTATATGGTTCAGTATCGTTATCTAAAGATCACTGATAAAGAAGAGAGAATCATACGACACAGAAGACTCGAGTAGTTTGGTATATTCTTGAGAGAGTGAACAGTGTGTGTGTGTGTGTGTGTGTGTGTGTGTGTGTGTGTGTGTGTGTGACAGGTCGTTGTCTTATAAACATACTGTGTATTATTCATGGTGACCCGAATTGCCTATTAAACGACACTACAACAACGAGTGCATTATGTAATGAATATAATGTGGTTAATTGATCACTGGAGAGTTGTGTAATGAAGCTACTGAATTTAATTATCCATCACTAATTACAAAATGTTATATTTACTAAAGAATAGAAAAAGATCGTTACCACACTTTTGTAGGCCCATCTACATATTTTATATAATGTTTATATAATTTACCTAGTTCATTTACATGCTTATAAATCTTAAAAAAATAAATATATATATATTCTTTTTTATGGGTGTTGCCTTAAATGGAGTTCAAATTCTATATTAAAATAAAACTTCGCGTTATCTAGTCTTTCATATCACTTTTTTTTATTAACTATATCCAAAATTTATAACAGTTGCTTACTTGAGGTTAAAAATATTCCTCTTCGTCTTACCCAAAACAGTTAGACAATTTTAGTCATAAGTCAGACGAAGGAGCAATGGCCATTAAACACCCGACACATTCTATAATTACTATAGTCAAAAGCCATGAAGGAGCCAGAGATCTTACACGCCACATTTAACAAACAATTATACATCTGCCGAGGAATGAAAATCTTACGAGTTAGCTGCACCACAACACTTGACGGTAATTGGTAAGTGTGTAAAACTCTACGGGTCTCACACACCACGTTTAAGTAACTCCTCGCCATCAGTGTATAAAACCTTGACACAAAACAAAAGACTATAAATGTATATTGTTGATAAGTCTTGTCTAGTGTATGTAACTACTTAGTGTATGTGGTGTATGATCTTAGTTGTTCCGGAAATATCACATATCTACTTGCTGTAACTGTGTGTGTTTCCATATTACGCCGCTGTTATTGGTGTACCAGGAGGAACTACTTCAATATATCTGAAGTGTGAATAAAAACAATTACAGAATTCTCACACCTCCTGTATAAACACATGTGAGACACTGTGTCGTGTGTGTGTGTGTGTGTGTGTGTGTGTGTGTGTGTGTGTGTGTCACATAAAAAAGCAAAACTTAAAAAATATCACAAGCACTCGTCTTTATACTCCAGCTCTTCAGGTGAATAAAGGCGAGAGCGTAAGAATTTTTTATTCTATTTCCCTGCGAGATGTGAATACACCGCTACCAAGACTCCTCAGGAATATATATATATATATATATATATATATATATATATATATATATATATATATATATATATATATATATATATATATATATATATATATATATATATGTGTGTGTGTGATCATGTGAAATAAATTATCCTGGTCAGCATTAAGTACACGTAAGGGAGATGATCAACCTGTTTCTACAGGTTAACCATGATGGACACTGACCTTTGTTGTGGTCGGCGAGGGTGAGGTGGAGTGTGAGGAAGAACATGAAGATCGTCACATCCAGGAGTGTTAAGTCCCTCGCCATGGTTGACTCACTACACGCCCTGGCTCTCACCCACTGCTGAGGCTCACAGCTACCAAGACGAGTTCCACCACGTTAGATCATCTGGAGTGTGTTGGACCGTCAAGTGTGGCGAGGGTGTCACGTCAAGTACGAGGCTGAGGAGCTTTGAGGACAGCCTTGATTCTATTTACTCTCCGGGAGTGAAGGTTTGTCTAGTCCAGTGCCACTTAATGCTTCCTTCTTACGGCAATTCAAGAAAAACTGTATATTGAGGTTCAATACGATACATTACCTTATATATCAACACTACACGCTACTGCTGACGTCACACACTTGTACCTTGTGTTTAGTGAGGAGTTTAGTCACTTGTCTCTATGTATTAATTGTTTTTCAAGTTTTTATTGAGGCAAAATATCACTGGTAATATGTTCCATTTTCACCGGATTAGTTCAATATTTGTGGCCTTAGTACCTGCAGCACGTGATGAGTGGCCACACACCCATTGGCCACACCTTACAGTGCTCAACCCTTTACCTTAACCCCCTCAAACTTGTGTCTATATTTCTCTATGTCAATATTTGCATAGATATACAAAAAAATTAACACCATAAAAAGTCGATTGTATTTTCCCAACGTTGCTAAATATTTCAGAAATTTTTTTTTTAGGTTTTAACGAAATAAATAAAGAGGAAGAATGACTTTATCTTAGTATCTGATGATCGTTGACTAGTGTATGGATCCACTTAATTAAGATCCTAAGTTACTGAGGCAGCACCAAATTTACGTCATTATAAACAACAAACTTTTTCTTTCCTTAATTAAATTTTATTGGAAGACGCAAACTTCGCCGGGGTTCACATTCTTGAACAACAACCCCGCCTCTGGGTCTCCTGCAGATAACTGATAACACTGAACATTTTCATATATGTCACGTAAAATATTCTTAGTCATGGTGTCAAAAAGATATATCGGTTAGGTTTGGGTTTTTCACGGACAGATAACTACCGTAGCTTCACACTTTCCACACGTAGCTAATAACTACTGAGTCTCTTAATAGCCAACTAGCTTATGTTATTCATGAACGATCACAAGCGCTGCTCTATTGTTTCAACTACCGTACGGATTAAAACTTTTCATATAAACTACCATGCGGGTTATAATTGTTCCATCAACATTGATCTTGTTCCATTAACTAAACACTGTATTTGTTCCATGGAATATAACACAGGCTGTTTTTGTTCCAGCAATTATTATATGTCCTTCAGAAAGATCTTTAAGTATCAGAGAGGCTGTACATGTCCATCCCCCACACCGTGATGGTCGACCTGGGGCGTCTCCTCAGTCCTCCGCTCTCTGGCCGGGACACACCTGTAGGTACACATAATTAAGGTGAGTAAGGAGGCTGTCGAGACGCTTCAGGAATGATTACAAAATTATCACGTCCAAGAGTTTGTTTTTAATGAGATATGTAGATAAAACCGATAATATAACGATGTAAAACTTTATTGCCTCACCTTCCTTTAACAGTGTGTGTGTGTGTGTGTATATACTCACACACACACACACACACACACACACACACACACACAGGTGAGCCACATCTGGTCATGTACTTAGTATAAAATATAGCCACTAAGAAATACTGCTAATCTCCAAGATAAATAACGAGCAAATGCCTAAATCAAGGAAATACCGAGAGATAAAACTGCAGCTGCACCTCACCTATGACCCCCCCCCCCCATAATATTATTAAAGAAAACGTGATGTGTGGAGGGAGTGAGAGGCGCCACCCTGCACACAAAGTAACCCGAGGTGGGAAAATATTATCAGGGCCACGGGGCTCATGAGAACCATAGCGACACAAAGGACTGTAACTGTGGAAGCTGATCCCCCTCAGGCAGGCCAAGAGACAGTAAGTCCTCCCTGAGTAACTTGTATCAGGAATGGTGGAATTAGGGTTGAGTTATGTAGTTAAAAAGAGCAAATGTGAAGGTGGTGATCATCATACGTTAAAAAAATTAATCTACATGGGAAGTTTTGTAGCGACGGTGAACCGGAAGTCGTCATATGATATCCCTTTGGTTGACAGACAGACAGACAGACAGACAGACAGACAGACAGACAGACAGACAGACACAGATGCAGTTTCTTTACTCTGGCTACAAGGATAATACTTCAATCAAGTTTAATTACACTAAAACAAAAACAAAAAACTCTTCATACTCAACCATTTTTGTTTTTACTTGTATACAAAACTATGAACTTTGATCCTTAGACCAGATAATTAACTAGAGTCTTGACGTACAGATTAACTGAGAGAAAAAGAGGGAAACACGACAGTAAATAGATCTTGAGTTTGTTATGTTCCAGACAGACAGAGACAGACAGACAGACAGACAGACAGACAGACAGACAGACAGACAGACAGAGACAGACAGACAGACAGACAGACAGACAGGCAGACAGACAGACAGACAGACAGACAGACAGACCGTGGTGGGTGTTGGTGGTGAGGGTGGCATCGCAGTTCAGACTCATTCCAAGTTTTATCCCTCTGAGGTCTAAATATATTTCAAATAATTAAGAATTTTCCCACTTTTCCTCATTGACAACTTTATGTATATCTAGTTAATGAACCAATCACATTGTGGGTTGTTAGAGGAACTTCACAAATGAACATCACACAGGTATGATTAGTTATGTTTTACTGCAATCATAAAAAAAATAGTTGCAATATCACACCTGTAGTTAGAAATTTTATAAAAGAAAAAAAATAATTAAAAATACCTGTAAATAAACCTTAATTATTAAAACTGTATTATACGCGATGAAAACACTTAACAGTTGAAGCTTAGTAATGCAGCCATAACACCATGTGGCCACTTTAACACCAGGTGGCCACTTTATCTAACACCAGGTGGCCACTTTATCTAACACCAGGTGGCCACTTTATCTAACACCAGGTGGCCACTTTATCTAACACCAGGTGGCCACTTTATCTAACACCAGGTGGCCACTTTAGCTAACATGGCCACTTTATCTAACACCAGGTGGCCACTTTATCTTGCCATTATCTTAAAACTTGAAAAGCTTTATAACTACAACATTTTTTAACTTAATATATAGAGAGAGAAATTGACCTTGTGTGCCTCAGACTCGCCCTGGATTTAGTGAAGGTAATTCGTAGGTCTTATAAATATACTCACCTCACCTCACCTCACCTCACCTCACTCAAATTATGTTGATAGATTCACCTGAGGGATTGTGGGATTAAGTCTAATACATATAAAGTCTTTACCTGCAGAGTAATTCCCTCAGTTTATTTCACCTGCAGATCAAACACCCTAATGCGTACCTGGGGCTTAGGTTAGGTTAGGTTAGGTTAGGTTAGGTTAGGTTAATCTCTCTCTCTCTCTCATAAACAAATATCTGGGTATCCAAAAAAGATCCACGTTACCTCAGAACACAGACATGAAGCTGAAAAATTACAATTGATTTTCTCACAGATGAATTTATTGACTATCGATATACAACAAGGAAGTTACAATCGTGCATCTTGACCATAACGTAATAAATAATGTAACTGCTTCCCACACACACACACACACACACACACACATACACACACACACACACACACATACATTACTAATCCAAATTTGCTTAGACTGATTGTGTTGATTGTCAATGTCCGGAGCAGAATAATTTATACGACTACATTTTCCGGTTTATGTAAAATAGATACACAAGGAACTTTTATTTTATTTTTTTACTCTGACTTTTAACACAAATTTATGGAATTATTAAACGGCAAAAAATTATAATATCTTTAGTAATTTGTTAAATATACCACGACCTGACGAGAGGAAATTTAACAACAATTGAAACAAACTTATCATTAACGAAATGTATTTGGTAATTATTGAGCAGGTAACGAGTATCAATGTATATATATTTGTTAAAGAAAATGACAGAGTGAAATATAACGGAATATATGGTAAAGAAAAGTCCGTTATGTCGATGTCCGTTAGATAGGAAACCCCGATCTCACGCACCACCACCACCACTACTACTACCACCACCACCACCACCACCACCACTACTACTACCATCACCACCACCACTACTACACCACCACCACCACCACCACCACTCTACTACTACCACCACCACCACCACCACCACCACTACTACCACCACCACCACTACTACTACCACCACCACCACTACCACCACCACCACCACCACCACCAACCACTCCCACTACTACTACTACCACCACCACCACCACCATCACCACCGCCACCACCAATCACCCACACACCCGCATTATCACCTCAACATCCATCACCCACACCTGTTCACCACCTCATCCTTCTATCTGTTTCTTGATTTTCTCGTCAATATTTATCATCCATTCTCTCTACACAAACATATTCTCTTTCCCTCGTTTCCTCAATGTTTCCATAACACTTGAGTAAATAATGATGGTTCTCCTTCATATTTCCTTCTATTCTACTTTACAGTCCTATTTCTGTATTTCCCTGTGGCCAATTTTGATATTATGGAGGGAAATTATAGTTTGGTTACAGTTGAATATTTAGCTACAGAAATATAAAAAATTAATGAGTTTGGTTTAGTTATCCCCTATTGGTCTCGATATCCAGAGAGAGAGAGAGAGAGAGAGAGAGAAAGCTGTGTAAAATATCTTAGATTTATTTTTATCAGAAAGTTCGTTCCCTCACACACACACACACACACACAGACGCACACACATGACAGTGGTGTGGTGGCTGGTAATTAGTCTCATCACCTTCCTTTCATTCCCTGACCAGAAAACTTGGAGAGAATAAGTGAATGGTCCGCTGCTCGCCATCTGGTGTTTACTTGAGAAGATGATGAAAAAAAGAAGAAGAAAAGTTATATCTCTTATACTTTTTTTTAACGTTGATGGTCTAGTGTAATTGTTGTACATAGTTCCGTGCTTAAAGACATTAGTTGTTGAAGTGGAGTAATAATAATATATCAAATATATTATAAAACAACACGATAACATCAATATTGAAACTATAAATACCTCAATAAAATCAAAAGAACATCAACAAAAACAAAATAACATCAACTAAAACAAAAGAACATCAACTAAAACAAAATAACATCAACTAAAACAAAAGAACATCAACTAAAACAAAATAACATCAACAAAAACAAAATAACATCAACAAAAACAAACTAACATCAACTAAAACAAAAGAACATCAACTAAAACAAAATAAAATCAACAAAAACAAAATAACGTCAACAAAAACAAACTAACATCAACTAAAACAACATCAGATAAAGAAAAAATAAATGCAAGTTGCACTCCTACAAAAGAATAAACAATATAACAAAAGTTTTCAGAGTTTATATCATAAGGAGTAATTTCCCAAAGTAATCAAACTCGACTGACTATCCACTCCTAACTATGCCAGTACACGCAGCGGGTCAGGATATATTTCAGATTCCAGACTAGCTGTTAGGGATCATCACAGCAAATCACACACCTGTACATGTAATTAGCTATAGATACTAATGTCATAAATAAAATAATTTACCTGTAGAGTCAACGATATACAATTTCGATGTTTCAATTTCAGTGTTTCATTTTCAGTGATTCAATTTTGATTTAGGCTCCAATCTGTTAAGCCAGGCAGGTATATTTTTTTAATTAGGGTTGTATTTTCTCCCCTGCAGGTCAGACCAGGTGGTAAAATGAACAAGTATGAACAGATGAGTCGAGATTTCCCACGTTTTAATTTCTGCTGTTCATCTGTTCATTATAAACACTCGGTGAAAATAACAACAAATGTGAACTGTAATTAAAGAGTAAATCATGTAAATAAATGTCGCCCACTGCTTGTAAAATGTTGACAGGTAGTGGAGATGTTGAGGCTACGAGGGACAGGAGGCAGTGTTTATAGCTCGAAATGTTTTGTAATGTTAGTCACTGTCAGTTCCCTACATATGAGTAACCTGTATACAGAGACTACATGCTACCCACACACACACACACACACACACACACACACACACACACACACACACACACGTCATACTAAACCAGTCATAGCCAACTAACAATTTCTATCCAGCAATTTCTCTCTGCCACCCCACTCCCCCCAATCCATAAATTAAGTGAATGTATTATTTTTTCTTTCTCAGACGTTGGTACACAATGTTCAGTCGGTTGTAATGATTCACACAGAACATGAGTTATACAGGTCTTGGACAGGTCTCAGAGGTCACTATTGCTATACTACATGCATGAACAGTGTGTTTACTTGTCAGAAAGTATGTTTACTGTTTTTGTTAGAACACACATAGTA